TGTTTAACTCAAACCTTCCTAGATATACCAGGTGGCTTATTCCCATAATCCAATTTAATCACATAATTATCCTTGCTCAATTCATTAGTTTAAACAATGCATTAAATTAATTTGTAGTCTTTATTCATATTTTAGAGGCATAAAATAGAAGAGGGCCTAATTGCAACGTCTTGAGGATCATGGGGTCAATCTACAATTTTAGAAACTTAAATCCCCAGTCCTATTGTCAAAAGAGTACCCGCTCCCCATTGTCAACCCGGCCCAACACGTCCTCCTCTTCTGCAAACTGGAACGCGCGACAGAGGAGACAGGGGCAGCTTTGTTCTTCTTCCCTGGACCGGTAATTACGGCGGCAACTGCTTCAAGGAACAGGCACAGCGTCAACAGAAGGTTAGCGACCTCGCGGCAGTTACTCTTCAAACCAGCGGCGAACTTCTTGTCTAGCAGCGGGGTCACCGGCGACCCGAGTGGCAATCCGTACCAGCGGCGACCTCCATGGTCGGAAACACAACAACGGAAATCCGACAGTAGCTTCGTCCCGCGTCGACAAGCTGGCATGGCAGCAACCCTCAAAGATAGCAGCGGCCAGAGAACCAAATACAGAGCAGAACGGAATGAGGGAGAACAGAACAGATCGAAGGAGAAGAGAAATAGGTAGTAACGTTCCAATCCCAAATCCAAACTCAATCACCCAATTAATTCAACAATTCAACTCACAAATCCAACATCAATTGCACAAAAATATACTAACGGATCATAATCTACGAATCAATTCAAACGAGCACCTCGATTAAGTTGGCAAATAAATCTCAATTGAATTAATGCACACTCTGGCGACCTCCGTGTAGCTCAGGCGATGTCTCCAGTGAAACTCCTAGTCTAGCGTGCGAAGAGTGAAGACGATGAAGGAAGATCTTGGCCGGCGAAGTTCCCCTCTGGTTGCGTGTGAAACGAAGGAGAAGACCATGACCGTATATATGCCTAACGGATGTCCGTTCCTTTCCCTTATTTATTACTCTCTAATCCTTATGCAAAAAGACTTTCTATTTTGACTTGGAGCAAAAATAAGGAAGTATTAAATTATAATTGATTTTCAATATTTTCCCCTGATGTGATGAGTAAAAGTAAGATGTGATGGATAGATTGTTAGAGAAAAAATATGATGTGATAGGTAGGGTATGAAAAACTAATGGTAAAAGTGATTTTTTAATAGAAAGTGGAAGTGTTTTGTTGGAAGTGAAAAAAATGAAAGAGGAAGTGTTTTTAAGAATGGAGGGAGTATTATCATTATCATTATCATTATCATTATCATTAACATTATCATTATTATATTACTAAATCCCTTTACATTAATTTACTCAACTGTATTGACCATTTCGCTCACCACAGTTCACACGAAATTCGAAACTTGACAAATAGTATGTCGTTGGTCACATTTTCTCGAGATCTGTCCGAAAACCCAAATTTTGTGGGATAATATTATGTTTACATCATATTTGTATTTTATTTGATTTCTTTATAATCTTTTCAGTCTCGGACGGCCAAACCCCTAACCTTCGTAAGTCGCATTCGTACGCGGGACATGTCGTCAAACTTAGCTCGTTCCATCGAGGAGTTCGATTCGAGTATAATCTTGATGATTAAAAGATTCTTTTTTAAAACATCTTATTAAAACATTTTCTTTTGATGTTTATTTAATTTAAACAAAAATTGGAATTACGATTTATTAAAAATTCATTATGAAATTCTAGGGTATATTTCAGGGCATTACATGGATCACAAATAATACCAATTTTGTAAATATCAAGAATATACAAGTAATAAGAATGCCATTTTTCCTTCATAGGAAAGACATGGGATACAAGTTTTGATCAAAAAAACTTTTACGAAAACATGTAGCAACCCTAATCTACTCCGAAAAGAATCATGTAAGCTTGTAAACATGCGAGAAAATATTAAGAACTTCTTACATGTTGTTCAACTCTTCAAAAATAATAAACTCAAAAAAACCAATTATATGAGAAAGGAAACAAGTTCTTCTTTATACATCAATATTTGTGCAATCAACTTATAGGTATTATATTATTCCATCTAATCGTAATGTCCTTAACAAATGTTATTAGTTTTTTTACCCCTAGATTTACAGTAAGCTTTCCATGCATTATAATTCAAATGACTATCCCAAATTAATTCCAACCACTCGATTTGTTTGTTAACCCCCGCCACCACACCTAGTATGTAATCCCTGCTGAACATACAAATTTAAAAATGACATACATCCCTTTCGTGTAGGAATTTACCCATGGCGCTATTAGGGAAACGAAGTTGTGTAGGTCTAGGAATGACAGTAGTGTTATTAGTAGCATTGTCAAAGCCAAATGCAAGCACTTTATCAGGTAAATTGTATACTTTCATAATATGCTCAAGCAAAAAGAATAATATCATCACCCGTATGAGATTCATTAAAATCACAAAAAAGAAAAAACACGTTTATGCATCACCCAATCATTATCTAGTCAATGACAAGCAATACTAATGTAGGACAAGTTATAATGTGTTTCATTCCAAATAAAAGGAAAAAAGTTACATGAGAATTTAAAGTAGTAAAAAAGCTAGCAATATTATTTTTTCAATTTTATATTGTCAAATTATTTCTCTGTTAATTGTCTTTCTTGTAAGATTTAATCATTTTGACAATAATCAATAAAACCACATTTTTTAGAGAACATATAACACAAATTTTTGTCACAAATAATTTTGGTCATTCTTTGTTTATTTTGCTCATCACTATAAATAAAGAGACCGCCCTTACCCTTATTATAGAAACGAGAAATCCGTTTGATGGATATCGGGTCTGATGGACCCGACTCCAGGCCCAATAAAGGCACATAATAGCATAATATGGATAAGGCCAAGTGGGGGTAACGGGCCGAGCCTGCTACTACACGCATGGCGGATGGGAAAGGGACGGCCCAATCATGGATTAAATCAAGACGACCCAGTCCAGAGAAGGAGCGGGACACGTGGCCCACACCACCAGATTATGGACGAGATGGGGAGAGAACGAGACCGGAAAAACGGGAATCACAACCCCATGATCTCCATAATCCCTCCATAATCGGGATGAGTTTCCATCATCCCGATGGAGCCAAAATTTCACCATTTTTGGCTTTGGGGTGTGATGGAATAAATCAAAATGGATCTCTAAACTGTCTGCGCTTCTTTAATTAATGAAGTAGCAGTTAGTCAAGCAATGCAACTTTCAACGTTGAGCCGGGGGTCTCTTTGGAAACAGCCTCTCTACTTTCGAGTAGGGGCAAGGTCTGCGTACACACACCCTCCCCAGACCCTACTCTTGTGGGATTTAACTCGGTTGTTGTTGTTGTATTACTCCTAGCAAAAAGATAAAATATGTCTAGCATAATCAAGGTCATAGTTCATAAACTGAGTGTGCCCGTTTGCAACTAAACATGCTTTATCAATTTATCATCAAGGCCAACTGTCACGGTATATATCCACGGATAGCCAACAATAGGCTTACTATGATGAAGGGGAACAAATTCTCATCTCCCACAAAAATGAAGAGCATTCACTTCAACAAATATAGCATGCTGCTATTCCATATGGGAAAGTGCCTCACTAGTGTGCAAATATGCAATATAGGTTTAAAGAAGGGAGTGGAAACATGATGATAGCTAAGAAAATTATGCATGAGGCGAGGGTTGAGAGTGGAATGTATACATGTTTGTATTGTGATCGATAAATAAAAACGGGCAGGCTCACAATCAAGGGTAGCCAATTGTTGCGAGCATCCATAGAACGGGAATCAATAGTGCAATATCAAGAATCTAAATAGGGATACGAAAAGGACAACGATGGTAGACCTGTAAAGATAGGGAAAATGTCAAAGGAACATCAATGGAAGATTTGCCAAGTCCAAAGGAAGCAGACTCTTTTAAAGAAAAGAGGCGGAATGGTGGTTGGCCAAAGATAAGGAAAGAAGCTAGAAAAGCAGATGTAATTAATGAGGATGTAGTAAAAAAAGATAAATTCATAAAGGTTGTGAAACTCCATGCGACCTGCCGAGGTAGCCGACACCACAAGTTTATAACTAGGTCCTGAGATTCCCAAATAGAGTACACCTTTATTTTGCCTCTGTGCACTTGATCAAAAGATCACGAAAGGGATGATTTTCCTAAGTAAATATGGTAAATTATTTTGCCTTAACTAGTCTAGAAATCTCACAAGTTTTTCTTAAGCTCTCTCAACTATCACAATGATTCAAAAGTCAAAGACTTACACTCAGTATCTTATATCCACCTTAAGAAATGTCTCACAATGAGAAATGAGCCACTCTATAAGCTAAGCTTATACAAAATCACAAAAATGAATCCAAATTTATAAATAACCCATCCAGAGTCTCAAATTCTAATAATTAAAATAATCTAAAAAACTTATTTTCTAATATAATTAACCTCTAACAGCAACACCAATACAATGCAACACAAATTTAAAATATCATTAATATTTATTAGCTTAATTTGTATCCATAACCACCAAATGACGGCTAAGCTCAGTATGTTGAGGAAGCTTCCTTCAAATCTCATTTGATAAATCTAATCAAGTTTGAAGATATTTCATGTAACCAAGGTTGTTAAACTCGAGATCCTAAGTAAGATCGAAGAGGGGGAGAAAGATCATAAATTGAGGGTCGTAACTTGAATTCTAATATCCTGGAGTGGTAGTTAATATTTAGAATATATAAAATGAACACACACAGAGATATAATATATATACATACACACACACACACAAACACACACACATATACACATGTAACAAATTTAATTTAAAATAAACAGTCATCTCATAATCATTAGCCAAAGCATAAAATTAAGTAGTCATAAATTCATAATCATAAAATTGAAATTTGACCAAGACATTTATAAACAAAATCGAGAAGGTTTTAAAGTGAGAAGTACTTAATAAATGAAATGGAAGGCTACTGATAGCGTAGTTAAATTAAAAAAAGGCTGAAAGGATATAGACCCAGAAATGCCTTAACTATTTACTCTGTATACCTGACTAAATGCCACGACTCATACAAGTAGATGTGAAGAAGGCGAAAGGTTAAAATAGCGGGGAGGGGGGATTGAAATACTTCTACGCGTAAAGATTTGGGCATACGATTTCAA